GAATGCCTACCAGGTTTTGCCCCTTTGGTTTTTATGATACAGACTTCTCTCTTCTTGTGCCTGTTTATTTTTTCTCAGCCCTTGTGTTCTCTCCCTGCTGCTTCCCTTTCGGTTGCTGCTTAGTCTTGTGGTGACCTGACTTTGAAAGCTGGCTTGAAGTGGTGTTTTAATTTTTTTTTCAGGGATTTTATAGCCCATCCTGGTGAATGGACTGAAACAGACAGAATTTTAAATGACTCTACTTAGCTGTCAGAAAACTAAACACAAACATCTGAGACACACTTGTTAAAATTTCTTCCTTAGAAATCTGAAAGGTTTCAGTGTCCTTAATATTCAACAAAAGAAAAACGGGTTATTAGCTGTGCTCGCTGGTAACACAAATGCTGCAGACTTCAAGAGCTGTAATTTGCTCACCTGTACCAAGGAACAGACCATGCTCAAGCCATCCCCAAACGTTGTAGGTTTCATAGTCAGCTCACGAATTTTTCAGTGCTGCTCCCTGCGTGACGCCGGGTCTCACTGTCACTTACCTCGTGCTTTGTCAGAAATGTTCTGTACAGGGTGGCATCAGGTAATGGCAATAACGTTGGACCTTCTAGGAGAAAGTTCAGAAGATTTAATCTACTCAGTTGAGAGTGTCTGTGCCACATTGGCCACCCACCCATGGCCTCAGCTCCCAAAAATGTGCCCACAAATGCAGAATCAATGATAACTCCAGCAAAAGCCGGGGCTGGGGGGGAGACTTTGTAATCTCCGTATTTGCACCCGAGGAGGCATCTGAAATGATTACTGCCTGTCTTGGTTTTCTACCTGTGTCCCCTGCAGGCATAGTCCGTGCCTCCAGCGTGTTCCCCATCCTAAGCACAATATTGCTGTTGCTGGGAGGACTCTGTGTCGGAGCAGGAAGGATTTACAACAGCAAAAACAACATTATTCTCAGCGCTGGGATTCTCTTTGTTGCAGCAGGTATGTCCTCCTTAAATTGAGTCCCTAAGAAGTGCCGCCTTTTTAAACTGAAAAGGACTGTGGAAAAGCTTGCTGGCAGTTCTCTCCCTGTACCCTTTTCCTGGATGGAGGGCACTAGCAACATCACGCTAGGCCAGTTTCTTCAGACAAAAATGTTTTTGAAGCTCTACAATACATATATTCTGGAAAAGCTTTTAGTTTTCCTGAAAAAGGAAGCTAAAGTCAGTAACAAGCAGGTTTTACTCTATTTAAAATGTATTAAATATTAGATGAATCAGGTGCCTCTTACATCCAGGGCCTTTTTTTTTTTCTTTTATAAGATGGCAGAAAAATTTCACCTATGATGGGTGAGCGTGTTTTTCATACCAGAAACATCTGAGAGAGTCAGTCCTATTGTTAATAGCTTTCCCTGAAGCTCGGATTAAGCATCCTGCGTTTAGATGGAAATTCAGCAAGGTGGAAGAGAACTTATCGTGATCAAGGTGAACAGCCATAGCCCTGAGCTCAAAATGTATTTTTATTATTATTCTGAATGTTAAAATCCCACTAACAATATTAGCGAGCTCACATAAGCTACTTCTTTCCCACCATGACAATAAGAGATGGGGACAAATCCTGCTGAGTATTTCAGGATCCATGCAAGCATACGTGACCCAGGTGTGGGTCTATTCTTTGTTTTTCAAGAATAAATGAAATCTTGAGATAAATGAAAGAGTAAATAAATGTAATAAGATTTCCTGCTCATAATCGTTGAACCATTCAGGTCCAGGAAGTAACATGGCTTGAATTTTATCTTCACAGCCGCATAACCACTGATTTATGTTTTTCTCTCTCTAGGACTAAGTAATATCATAGGGATCATTGTCTACATATCAAGCAATGCAGGTGACCCAAGTGACAAGCGAGATGAGGACAAAAAGAACCATTACAACTATGGTTGGTCTTTTTATTTTGGAGCCTTGTCTTTTATTGTGGCCGAAACCATAGGTGTTCTGGCTGTGAACATTTATATTGAGAAGAACAAAGAGCTGAGGTTTAAGACCAAGAGGGAATTCCTTAAGACTTCTTCCAGTTCTCCTTATGCCAGGATGCCAAGTTATAGGTACAGGAGGCGGAGGTCCAGATCCAGTTCTCGATCTACAGAGCCTTCTCCATCTAGAGACATTTCTCCGGTTGGCATGAAGATAGCAAGCACCATTCCCATGAACGAAATTTCCATGTACACTCTTTCCAGAGAGCCTTTGAAGGTTACAACAGCTGCCAGCTACAACGCAGACCAAGAAGCCAGTTTTCTGCAGGTTCACAACTTCCTTCAGAAGGAATTTAAGGAAGGACTCCACGTCAACATGGTCAACAGGAGAACAACGCCTGTTTGAAGTACCTTCCTTCCTCAAGCTTTTTGAAGAAATACCGAAACAGAATGGATCTGTCATGAAAGAGAAGGAGCGATGTTAAAATACCCTCTCACCTCTTTAATTGTGGTGTGTGTGGAGATCCTCTGGACCAACATAAAGATATTACACGCTCGTAGCTTTTTCTGAAGCTATTTGGAGTTTGTTTCTTTCAGTTCTTGGTGTCATGAGATGAAGGCAGTTCGTGTTCCTGCACTTTTGTAGTGTGTACAAAGCCTTGGAGAAACTGCAAAGGAGTTGCCACCAGTGTGTTTTAAAGGATTACAGAAAAAAATTGTTGTATGACTTTTTTTTTTTTCTAAAATTGAGATCCCTTAATAAAAACTTGCAAATATAATTTGTAACCAAGCCCAACGATGGATACGAACTACTCATCAAAAGTGAGCCACTTTCCTTTGACGCAGCATAAGCTTTGCCTCTTTCAGGAAAAAAAAAAAAAAAAGAAAAAAGAAAAAAAAAGAAAATATTTTTGAAGGCAACACTTTCTAAAACTTACCTGTGCTACTGAAAGCTTAGAGCACCTGCGTACTGAGCATTACAGACTCCCTGATGGGGTGGTAAGGGGGTTTCCCATTTCTGGGAGTCAGGCGTCCCTCCGGGCAATGCAGGTGGGGGAGAAGAGGGTGGGTGCATCTCGAAACACCTAGAAAGGGAAGGATTAAAGTAGGTGGGACTTGAGCATATTTGCAAATATCATTTCTTGCCTAACATTTAGAAAACTTGAATTCTCATTTCGACTAGCCCTAGTGCCTGATCCGGCAAGGTGCTGAGTGCTGTCTGTCAGGAGCCCCGAGAGACTACTTATAGCAAGAGCGAGAAGCAGAGCTGAGCCGGGGTGGCCCGCGCAGGCGAAGCCGCCGGTTCCCTGCGACTGCATTCCTGTTTTCCTTACTGCTTCACAAGTGCAACACTAACGCTACTGGAAACTAAGATATCTAAGCAACGTGCGTAAGAAAATGAGAAGCTAATACGTTCGGACTAGCAAAACTTCCTGCAGCAATGGGAACTGAGTGTTAACAGAACGGATGACAACTTTGTATTTTTTAAAGTAGAACAAAAAAAAAAATCACCGTTTATGAGATATTTATTAAACTCTTTTTATTATGAATAAGTGCCGCATGGTGCAAGGTATAGTTGCTTTTAGATGGAAATGATGGTTCGACATAATTTAATTTATTTTGTAATGATGAATCTGCTGGCGTGCAGAGAGCCCACAGAAAACTCTATGCATCACCTAAGGGGGGAACTAATTTGCACCCTTTGCTTCTGTATGTTTCTAAAAAAGTCTGAAATATTTTTTTCTTTTAAATTCCCGATTTCATTTTTTACACTTAGGCTTGGAATCTCAAAGCTCGAGGGCCTGACTCAAAGGTAATTTCATTTAATAGTAATGATGCTGATTTTAGCGACCGCTCGACCAAGCCATATGAGAATGAGGTGCCCAGTTCCCCTTGGATGAATTAGGTGCAGTGAGAGAGGAGCATCTAATTCCTGTAGATTCCTTTGAATGTACCCGTCAGCTTTGCCCAGAAAATCTTTACTACCAGAAGTGGTGACAAGAATAAAAATCACTCTTTGGAAATCTTGGCTCACTGATGGTGGAAGATCTCAGCCAAACTGTTAAAACCTCTTTAGTCTTAATTTATCCTGTGATGGCCACAGCGTCAGTGACTCAGTGCTGTTTTGGATACAAGGCTTTCAGCTAGTAGAAACAAGTTCTCTGGGAAAACCCCGGAGGAGCTGCCTTAACATCCCAAAAAGCAAGTTGAACCCCCTCACCCCCCCAAGTGAACCCTGCCCAAGCCTCTCTCCTTGCAAGAACCAAGACACAATTCTCATTTTTAAGCTAAAGTCTTCCCCTAGTCGCTGTTAAGCTCTGCATAGCCCTCAGCCTGGCAGAGCGACATTGTTATTTTGGCGGAGATGGGTTGGAGCCTTCATCCCTGCTTATTAAGAGTTTCCATTCAGGTTAAAACTCTGCTGGGATCCTTTTTCAAACTTCTGAACTCTGAGAGCTAAAGCGGATGGAGTGACGGGAACGATTTAAAAGTAGAAAATGTTGTGCTACTTTCTGTATCAACACACTATGGAGAAAGATATTACACAAGCTTTTTAAAAAAATTCAAACAGAGGCAGACAAGAAAACTTTTTTACCTACTTTTCAGCTAGGACAACATAAAAGAGTTCTAAAATTATTAAAGTTCTTGATGAAAGGTTTTTTTTACAAGAATCTTTATGCTTTCAAACAATAAATTATTTCCTACTTTTTGAGACTTCGTAATATTAAAATACTTTGATTAGCTATGATAGAAGTAGAAGTTTGCAATGAAAAAAAAACCTTCTGTCTCATTAGTGTGTCATACTAAGTGCTAATTAATTTACATCTAATTATAGTCGATGTATTTTTCAAGTGCAATTTCCCAGAACTATTTGTTTCCCACTGTGTTAATAAACTAATAGTTAGAAATAAGTCCTCATCCGTGTTTACTGTAATTAAGAATAAAACCATTCCCTTTAAAACCAGGAGTTAGATATAGGCTGTTTTTCTAAACTCATGTACATTGAACTGGAAGTTGACAGTGTGAGGTTTGCTTCGCACGTTGGTTTTGTTCTTTTAATCGTCCTTCACCAGTGAACGTGTTTAAAACCAACCATCTGGTTCCAGCCAAAGTCCAAGGCTTTTCGCGAGCCCAGATCATACCTGCAGAGGCACGTGCAGTGTTTTTATATCACATCGGCAAAAAAAAGTCTTGCCAAGCATTTTGGGATGTTCCTCTTTGCCAGCACT